CCCGTTTTTACCTGAAGGGCGTGCTGTTGAAGATATAAGGGCTGGAAGTTTCGCCCTCTAGAAATTTCTAGAACAGTCCAGAACATTCGAGAGTATTCGAGAGCATTCCACAACATTCCAGAATGTTCCGGGATGTTCTGGAACGTTCGGGAACCTCCCGGAACATCCTAGATTATTGTGGAACATCCCAGAACACTCTCGAATGTTGTGGAACATTGTGGATTATTCGAAACCTTTTTTGTATGGGTGGGACTACCCATTAGTAGGGGTATATAAAGCAAGATCTGTTGTGGGTTCAAACGTCAGTTTCTTATCAGTGACGAAGGGAAGAACCGAAAAAGAAGTGAAGATTCCAAAGTAGTGCAATGAGTGAATAAAAACAGTGACTGAATATAAATCGTAAATAAACTGTGAAAACTGTGTAAAGTGTACTTAGTGTATTTGTTAATAAAAAGTAGATTTGATTTATATTTTATACAATGCCCAAACTTAAAAGAGGAGGAGCACTTGCCAGTTCTGAATTTTCTTTTGAATATTACCAGGAATTTTTTTTTTAGTATTAAAGTTGATATCGTCGATAATATTACTTTTAGCTGCCAAAATTGCCACTCCGAATAATAATAAGAACCGCAGAGCCCAAACGATTATGAGTTGAAGATTGAAATTTGGTACACAGTTAGGATACGTCACGAGAATGTACACTAAGAAGGGATTTTTCGAAATTTTCCGGCGGGGAGAGGTTGGTAACACTTTCCCGCGGGGGAAGTGTTAACAATGGAAGTGGTTAAGTAACAATTGAAGTGTTAAGAGAAAGCGGCGTGCAAGATTTACAGGCGCAAATGCGGTTTTTTGCATTTTTGCGAGAAATCGAACATTTTTAGACCCATCTAAAACTTTTCTAATTAGTCTGGAAACAGGGCAACCTAATTCTTGCATTCTGAAAAACGGGTAAGATTGGCTATAATGTAATTTTAATCTTAATCTTAAATGTTTTCGAATAGTCGAGGACCGTTATGTGTGAGTAGTGGGTATGGCTTTTGGAGACGTGTGACGCACATGCTTCAGTTGATTTTTCATAAGTAAAAGTGTACAAATAACAGAAAAAAGTAGACAGTGAAAAGTGAATAGTGAAGTGTAAAAAGTAAAAATAAAAAAACAATGCCAAAGCGTAAGAAAGAACTTTTGCGGTCTCGAATCATATCTCAAAGGCAAAAGATGGCGCGGAGAAATGAAACCACGGAAGAAAGAGAAGTACGTCTAACATTGCTACGAGAAAATTATCAACGAAACAGAAATAATCAGACAGAAGAGCAACTGAAAATTATAGGGAAATACATCGTATCAGAGAAAGATTATGTAGAGGAAGAGAAACAGTCTTTTATATACAGTATATAAAAAAACTATATTACATATAAATGTACGAACAAATAAAAACCCAGCGAAGCGGGTACTTGCAGCTAGTAAAATCATAAATGGATTGGACAATGTGATCCGAAGTCATACGAAATCAAAATAATAGTATAATCGGAATAAATTATATCATTTGATAATATCAGATGATATAATCATTACTCAATATATTTAATATAACTACATTAGCCTCAGTGCCTGACTTACTGACTCACTGACATAAAACGTTTAAGTAGAAGCACACTTCTTATAGAAAAATGGAATAGTACAGTCGAAAGAGGACAACGATTATGTTAGAAAAATTCTCTCAAAAAGTTTGAGATACCAGGGATTAAAGTTTAGCCATTCGTAACTGTATAAAAGAAATGGCGTCTGTAAGATTTCTTTACGGGTTATCTTCTTATTTTCGAGGAGTTTTTCTATTAATACTTTTAAATTACTGTAGATTGTTTTGTTTCCTTAATATTGGTTGTTTCTACATCAAAACTTTTAATATATAATGTAGGTCAGGGATGGAGAACATTTTCAATCTGCTTTCCAAAGTAGGCATGTTAACCTTATAAAAACATTTGCGTGTGTATTAAAGTACAATTTCTTTTAGATAAATCAAGTGAATATAATTGAATTTGAATACATTTTAAAAAAATTAATAAAGAAAAATATAATTATAAACTGGGTTATATTGAAAAGTAGAATAAGAAACCGAAATTGAGAAAAATTGAAAAAGTAAAAAACAAAACCGTACGATTTGTTGCGTGCCAGGCAAATTTTTTAGCCTGGCACACAACAAATAGCCTGGCTAAATAATATTTAGGCGTATTATAGATTTATTCAGATGTTATCAATTCGACCATGTTCTGTTATATGTTTCGGGACTTACTACTTACAAAAACATTAAACTACTGATAACAATATCCATGGTTATAATAAATGGATTTCACTGTATCCAATCGATTTTATTATAATATAATAAAAAAACAACAATTCTAAACAATTCTCAGCGCCACAGATACATACATAATATGTGTGTGTATCTGTGGCGCTGAGAATTGTTTAGAATTGTCAGTTTAGAAATAAAATTCATTTATTTCATTATGATACATAATGTGTATGTATCACAATGAAATCGTTTTTATTTCGTACAATGTTTTGATCGGCGCTGTTTAGGATTGATTGGGCTGCAATTTGAAAAAAATTGTAGAACTATAAATCCCACTGTTTTCCGTCTGTCCGTGTGTCTTTCCTGAATCTCAGGAACGGTGTTAGATAAATAAAATTCAAGATTAGGTGTGGAAAGATTTCATCCAGGAGGTCCTGATTAACATATATCAACTTCCGATGAGAATCCGAAAATCTAAAGTCAAGTTATTTTAATTAAAAAATTTTCCCTGAAAGCAATTAATAGATGAACGGCATGACTCTTGTTAAAGGAAAAGTATGATGTACAGGGGCAAGACACTACAGTACTAATTTGACAAAATTAAAATTAAAATATCTGTTATTAACCAAAAATTGGTTCTCTAGCGGGTAGTATTTGTTCGGTCGAGTACCGAGGTAACATTGTATTTGATTAACGCGATTTTGATATACGCGGTAGTAACGCGGAATTAATAAACTTCATTAATCAAAGGATACCTGTACAAAAATGTAGAGAAATATATATACTGTATACAGTTATTTTCTTGCATAATGTACGTACGATGCCCATTTTTTCAGCTTGTATCTTCCCTTTTCATAGTATGCGGATGCCGCTGCTTAAATCTATAATACTTCTTTTTAGATAAGTAGAATTAGTCAGAAGTAGATAAGTTTTTGTTTGTGTTTTTCATAATAAATCATTTATTTAAAAAAATATATATAAATATTTCTTTTATTTCTGTCTACACTTAATTAATTCTATAAAAGGTCAATAGATAACGGTAATTATTCATTAATAAATTCTTCACTTAAAAAACCTTAATTTTATTTGAATAATTATGATAAAAATTAAGATATTATAATGGCAAGTTTGATTTAAACTTATTTATTGTACTATGTTTATTAAATTTTGAATACAGTACAGTCGAACTTGCAATAACAGCGATCATTTTTCGTTACTGTCAGAGCGTTGTTCAGAGGGTTGACTGTATTAGAAACGAAGACCTTTCTACGCTCGTATATTTTAAATTGATAGGGATAGAAAAAATTAAATGAATTAAGCTGGTATCAACTACAAATCGACTACCAGGTTGATTGCGATCGATATTGTGTATACATTAATACACATATCAAAACCAATTATTTGCCCCATGCCAATACAGATTTCACTTACTCGCAGTATTCCCCTTCTTTCCACTTTCTTAGCACTGAGAGGGCCTTTTTATCACACAATACCCTGGCCGAACCCACAATGAGTTAAATAAAGCCATGACTTTAACTTCTAATTTAAAAAGTAAAATCATTACTTTTTATTATTACTGGTCTTTTCTACATAAGTTTTTTATATTGTTTTATTTTTAATATTTTTTCGTAAATAATTTTGCTTCTTCAAATCATTTAGAATTTAGAAGCACCCTCTTGGACCGGCTCAAAATTATACAACAGAGAAAATTTCTCAAATCTATGAAATATGTTTTAGTAAAATTAAATGTATATACATGTTTAAGTTAATAAATATTCTCATTTTACCATGTATGATGTTACTATGTATGATTTTACTATGCTCTTTAATATGTCGAGTATGTTTCGATACATATTCCACACATTAAACAATCTTCTAATGTCATATTTGACAAATTTGTATCTGGTTGTATTTTGTGTTCACATTTAATATATTTTTGAAATTATTATAATACCATACAAAGTTTACAAAATAAATGTTATTGATATATTCTTCCTATCTTAGCGTCGTGACATAGATTCTTTCCATCTAGCGAGCGCTATGAGGATCTTTCGTCGAGTCTATTGTGAGTTCGACCAGATTAACACTTTGTGTATTTTTATACATGATCAAATTGGATTGTAATTTTATTTAAATTGTATTAATTATTTTAGTTATAGCTAAATATAAATTATTATGATGGAGAGGAATGGGGACCGGACATAAAGCAGGCAGTCTACTTGTGAAAATTTCTTAGAAAAGTCGTACTCGAAGTCATTTTGCTACCTGTGTTTTATTTATGGGTTTGATACACTTTATTATAGATTATATAAAAACAGTTTGCGTTACGGTTATATTTTACGTATATTAAATTTATCCGTTAAACCTATAAAAACTTAATACACGAGTACTTTCATTTATGCGATATATTTATTATTTATAAATGATTGCTCGAAATGGTATTTAAGTACGATTCGAAAATAGTGACACAAGCGATAGACGCCATGTTTAAAGGACACTATGCAATGAAATAAATACGTCAGGTGCAGGCAAGAGGAAAGAAGTCAATGCCCTAGTAAAGAGAAGTACCAGGAAGTCTGGTCGTAACCAATGTTAATTATAAAACGTGACTCAAAGGAAAGAAAACAACGTTCGCAGCAAAGTTCAAGGACAAATCGTTTTGTTTTTCTCGCCAACGAATACAGAGATGAAAACGGGGACAGTTTGTGAATGTCTTTAGAACCGGCAATGAATGTTACTATGTCTCGAACAAATTTTTGATGATGCTTTCTGATTAATGGTGGTTTTTTTTTTGTCTCCGTCGGATACTTTTCTTGTAGAAATGAACGTTTAATTTTGCTTGTCACTTCTCTGAAACGACGCTAAAGATTATTTTGGTAAGTTTATGTATTAGCCATATATATATATATATAAGTTTATAATTTCGTTTAATTTTAGAATAAAAATCTGATTGAAACGTGAATGAAATCTTTGATAGTTCAATTACAATATTGTCATATACAGTAGCCTATATTCAGTGAATAATTATATTAATTTTTTCTAAATTAAAATTAACTATTTTTCTTCAGAATATGTTTTAAGCATTATAAAATATAAAAATCAACAAATTTCTTGTATTGCACTATATTCAATTAAACCTTTGCAATTGTTAGCATGTAAACAATTTTTACTATTGTTAAGACTTGAAAAAATAAAATAAATATATAATAAAATAAAATAAAAAGGAAGGACTCTAAAGATTATTTTATTAAGATGTTCGTTTATCGTATTTAATCGGGTCGTGATACTATTTGCAAGGGATAAAGATATAACAGGTTTTATTGGATGACCTACATCAATATCGTTTATTAGTGTCCTCAAGCGGATCTTAATATTATCACATAATTTAATAATGATATTTGAAGAGTTTGTGACCGAGATAAATCTGTACATTATTATATTGAACGAGTCTTTCTCACAATAATAATATTTTAATGAGACAAATTCAATATGTATTTTTAAAATCATTAACTAAATTAGTGAGAATAAATCTGGACATTTGATTGTTTTATTATGTTAATTTATGCTTTTATTGATGCATAAGCCGTAACAAGCCAAAGTAAAATGAATATCTGCTTATTCTTTCTGGTGATATACACTAGTTATATATAAATTAGGTCCTCTCAGATGGCGAAGTGGATCAGAGTAGTTTAATTAATTTAAATCTTTTTCAGGCTTCCAATCAATATCGTAACCGTAAAGAAGCCCCTTACCCTATTAAATAAATAAAGTACATTAAAAGATATGAATGTGATAAGCGCACTTTTACATATATATATAGAATATTCAAGAATTTACTCTTCATCCATAACACTCTAGTGGCTATATCCAAAGTGGTACACTACTGTCTCTAAGATATTAAAAAGAAAGACAAAACAGGTTAGAAATGTATTATATCTGACAATAGGTGTTTTTTTAATTTACTGGAAATATAATGGCATGTATAATATTTAATTACAATATACATAATTATACATATAATCATGTATAATTATGTAAGTTATATTAATATTAATTATGTATGTTGTAATTAATATTATATACTGACAATTGTATAATAGTTGGTAACAAATGTTTTTGTTTCCTTATGCTTGATACAAATAGAAAGTTTTTTATCGCTGAATTGTACATATCCCTGCATTATCACTTCGAATACGTTTTCAAAATTTTATATTGTATATAAGAAGTATTCATATTTTAATATTATTTACAATATGTAGTACTTATTTCTACTCTCAAAATAACATTTAACGTGTATCGTGACGTAACAATCGAAGCATGGAAACTTTTAGTATTCAATGTTGGCAATTTACACTTGTTCTGTATTGCCAACGGTCAATAAATGTAGCAATTTTAAAATACTTTAATACAGATTAATAGAAATATTTTAATTAGAAATTTTGAATTTTTAAATGGATATTTTTGTCGACATTCCCCAATAGTATCCAATTATTATCGGTTGTAAAAATAACATGAATAATCGCAATAAGGTGGCCATTCGCAGTTTAAGGATGGGAGGGAGTGGGTTGCGAAAAGTATATTATGTACACGATGGAGAGGGAGCATTGTCTACGTGGATTTTTATGATATTAGTGTAGTATTAGCATACGAATTTGTTCTTGTAAGCCTACTTTCTAGTGATATGAATAAATTGTCAGTTAGAAAATATTTGCAGAACTTCTTAGTCATTTCTTCAATATGTGAGGGAGATCCATGAATTATTGCATACGAAGTTAAAAGAAAGGAGATTTTCCAAAAGAACGTCGCTGTACATCGCAGATGGGGTCAAACACGGCTCAAAAATTTTACACGTAATTAATTAATGGAATGTTTCTAACTACATCAACACAGTACTATATTTCTCCATTGCAGATTAGTACTAAAGCTTTTAACAAAACGTGATATCACAGATTTGTACGTGAAGATTGAAAAATTATTTCGAAATGAATTAATTGCATTTATTAATTAATGCAATATTTATTATTATTATTATTATTATTAAAAATAATAAAGTACAGAAGTCATTTTTAGGAGAGGACGAAGCAACTTCGGCACGATAAGAATAAGTTAAATTTTTTGTAACAAATACTGCTATAAACTGAAAGAAAAGCGTTGTTTATTGTCTACCAGAATAAAAATTTACCATAGAACTGGTTAAGATCAGTTTGTTTGGAAATAAAAATAATCATAATAATAATAATAACTTTATAAAAAGATAGCAATTGCCGAAGTTGCCCCCATACCAGGGGCAACCTCGGCAACAGTAATGGGGCAAGATAGGCAGGTATATAAATTTGTGTTATTAACAATGTATAAGTTGGAAATGTATATATAAATTAATTACAAAAAAAATCAAACAGATAATAAATGAAAACATCCTAATGCAAGTTAAAAGCAATATAAATGAATTAGCGAACTCAAACAGTAGAAATGAAATATGCTTAATAGCAAATTGTTTATGCCCTACACATATCATAAATAAATTAAACCAACTCATTTTCCACATCTGTACAGCCACGAGCCCACAGTTCACACTTGCAGCACATAATCCACTTTTCCTGAGTAGTTCCATATTGTTTATTGCAATATATGCAATAATTATTTTCATCATCATTTTCTGGTTCTTTAGGACTTTTCTGCCTCTTTTCTTTAGTGAACTTCGAATCAGATTTCTCCAAATCCATTGCCCTTCTTCAAGTTCCTGATTTTTTAACTTTAGTCTTGGCTTCTAATGTGGCTTTGTATGGTGATCCAGTTATTTCTTCTGCTTGTTGTTGTTTGCGGCAAAATCAAGCCATAGCAAAATCGACCAGGAACAAGATCGGCAACACTGTAGAAGATGCTCCATAGTCATGATTTAGAAACATTAAGTGGAACCCTGAGAATAGGGTACCAAGCCAGGGCACTTAATGTTTTATCCTTCTAACAGGAAAAATAACTCGTTATTATGGAATTATAACAAAACATGCTAATTCTATATAAATGGAAGTAAAATATTATAAGAAATTGAATGAAACAGACAACTTATTTGATATTTCAACTACGCTTGTCGGAGAATAACACAAATACCACACTCAAGAAGCCGTCATTAAAACTCAACTGACTAGCCTCTAAAAAGAGTGTCCTTTTATTTTGTTTCAAAGAAAATTTAATTGACGAACTTGCCCCGTATGCCGAAGTTACCCCGTCTTCCCCTAATATTTATTTTCCTTTAATGAGGCATTAGTTTTAAAGTTTATTTTACTTGTGAATAGTTCTTTATTTTGAAAATTTTTTTAAAAATATTGTAAGGCTTTTTACAGTATTTATTCCACTTTTAAATGATTTTAAAATGATGTACCATAATTTTATTTTTTTGACATAAGAAAACGTTGAATTTTTTTCTTACATACCATAATTTTATTTTGCAAGTGTCCGAATTCCTATATTTCCAAATGCAGAAATTTGAACACTAATTTTTGTCGTGCATGAAGAAATCCTTGGCTAGTTGTGATTCCTACAATTGTAAAATTAACGTTATTTTTTAAAAAAATAACAGAAAATAAACTCTGAGAATGCTTTTTACTAATTAATATTAATAAAGATTAATAAATGTATTAATATTAATAAATTCTTCATTAATAAAAAGGTATTTTAAGAATTTAAATGTTTCGTTCTTCAAAAGCTAAAGAGCGCTGTACCATACGGACCCATATAAGATCTCGGTGGCCCATCAATAATGTACAAGGTATGAAATAAACATGAGGATGAATATCCAAGATCGTTTTATTTATCCTCGGTTGCCAATTCATTGTTCGACAAATATTGTGAATCAACGCAAAATACATAAATACAGACTATTCATATTATATTTGTTGATATTTGCTGATGAAACAGGTCTTCATATCTTTTCTCATAAACACTATGGATACTCAACACAGGGATGACTGTTACTATTACCCGCCTCCTTCAAGAGGCAGTATCAGTATAATATCTATTCTGAGTGTTAATGGCATTAGTGCGTTTCATTGTATCAAAGGTAGCGTCAATGCAGAGCTATTTCGAAGATTCATCGAAGACAATATACATGTTAAAAAGGTAAAATCATTCATCTCATTTTCATTGGGATAATCATCGAATTTTATTGCAAATTTATTATTTATGAAATAAAGAGAACATTTAAGAATTTTTTCTATTTTGTTTTTATAGACCGGGAGTAAGAATGGTAAATTCTATACAAGATGAAAATGGTTTTGGCACTTCATTACCTTCATCTATAACTTCAGAATCATCGTACATTGCAGATTATTATAAAGACAAAAGTGTTTTAATTACAGGCGCAACTGGATTCGTTGGCAAGGTTAGAACAGTTTCAATTTAAATACTTTTATTAATTTTATATTTATTACTATTTAATGTCATGAATATAAACAGAGTTTAAATATTTAAATTCTAAACGATACAGTTTTTTCGATTTATTTTTGAATCACAATGGCTTCTGTTGTGGCTAGAAGTATTACGTAAATTAGAATTTCGTTTATAATTGTAATTAATTTTAAAATAAATTTTAAAAACTATAAAATGCAAAATTATTAAAATATCTAGCTTCAGAAGATGATTTTATATCAAATAATTTAAGTTTTTATCGCCATGCAGTTGTTTAAATCATATTTTTTATTGAAAACATTTCATCATGTCATCAGTTCTGATATTTCTATAACGTCCCTATTCACAATAAATAACCACGAGTTAGAAGTTGACCAATAAACGTCCACGTAGTAAAAGTAAAATGAATGGCAATTGGTTAACTCTAACTCTTGATTCTTGAATGCAAACAAGGTTATATAGGCTTATCTATGTCTCCCCCACTTACCGTAACTGTTCTAACATCATTTTCAATTAATTGACTATACTCACGGGCATTGGCAGAAAATTTTTCAGGGGATCAAGGCTTGGGAATAATTAATTACATCAATAAATTTTAATTTAATTATTTAATATTTTAGCATTTTTCCATGAATATATTATAGAATACGGCAGCGTTTCTCAAAGTGGGCTTCGCAATTGAAATTCTAGGGCAACGCGAATCTTTTAAAACCTTTTTAAAGCTAATGAGTCAAATATGTTGTTTGTTTATTTTACAACTATTTTTAACTGAACAGTTAAGAGTTATTTATTTGAATCGGCGTTGAGGTGTACTGGCGAGGTGTACGAATGATGCGTGAGAAGTGCATCATTCGTACAACTGACATTTCATTGAATGATAAAATATATATAATTGTTTATTAATAAACAGTTGTATACAAAATTGTATAATTATGTAAAATACATAATTATATGCATTTTAATTTAATAATTCGTGAAATAATAATTTAAAAATAAAATATTAGAGTCTGCTGGCCTCGGTTCTTTCTCGTTCGTATTTGTACAAATTTATAACAAAAGATGCCGATGTGTTGTGAGTGCTCCGCAAAAAGGAATTTTCCCTAATAAGGGGACTCCACTTTACCAAGAAGTTTAGGAAACTCTGCCATACCGTATTGCATCAATATAAAAAGACAAATCATCCCTTGGTCAAGGCGTAAAGTACATATCTAAATCACTTTTACGATTGTAATTTTTGGAAATTTTTTACTCGATTTTATGGGGACAAGTGCCCAGTTTGCCCCTCCCCTCTACGGACACTGATGACTCTACTCGATACACAGAATATTTTTAACTCTTATTACAAATCAATAAATTCTATAAGAAATTTAATTCAACGAATCGCTACTTTATTTATTCGTATGGAAAGAAATATACAGTATACACTTTCCAGCAATTAATATATCGTTAATAGAACAGAACAAATATCACGTTACGTCGCTAATTAATACGATCCTGTCAATAGCCATTACTGTGTTGTAGGTGTATCGACACGTCTATAACAATAGCCATTCCAATTTTTTGATAATAGGCTTCGACTATTGACACGGGCGTGTCAGTAACCATTCATATACTTTTATAAATAGAATATTGACATATATATTTTTTCAGAATTTTTTTAAAATCTTGCAAATTAAATACATCAGAATATAAAAATCATATTGAAGTATTTATGCTTTATGTTAACATGATTTACAATAATGAAGGTACTGTATTGCATTTATAAGTTTTACTATAAATACGCATAATATTACATTTAAAGTTTAGTTTGTTTATTTTTTGGCTCTTTCAGCCCTGTTACACTTAAATATAGCTCTTTAATATCCACTGTGAGTTTGGCCAGGTCCACAATGGGATGACCCAATTTATCCGGGACAGACCGTCCAAGAAAAATTCCTGGGGAGTTGCTGGTCCCGGACTCGATCCCGAATTCCCAGCGCGATAAGCTGAGGCCTTAATCCCATGGCCCTCTGGGCATCTTGAGATTTTGAGAGCACTTTGAAGAATTTCTGAAGTTTTGATATCTTTGCTATTTTTTACTTCACCTGCTTCATTTTTAGCCCTTAACTGGTTTCTTGGGGGCCGCGCGGCCCCCACGCGTCATATTTTTACGAATTTCTAAATATCTAAATATCGTGCGCAGCTGCTATTTTATGTAATCTCATTACGTCGCGACTCTTAGCGAGTGCCAAATGTTCGGCCCTGTAGCACTTACAAGGATGGAGCTACGTACCTTCTGGGGGCCGCGCAGCCCCCACCATACCAGTTACGTTGGTTTTTTGTGGAAATGAGTTTTTATGTTTTTTTTTTATTTTTACAATTATTTTGCATAGATATCTCAATCTTGCATCAAAACTTTAAAATGACTACCAAAGAATCATTTGAACTGCTAATAGGTGATAATATTATACAAATTGCTAGATCAAGCCGAAATCTCCTGAAAAGAGTATGTTGTCATTTTGTGCTAAAAAAAATGGTAAATATGCTACTAAGTGCAACAGTTGTTTGAAATTTATTTGCAAAGTGCATAGTACACAAAAATACTATGTGATAACTCTCAAGACTGAACTACGTAATCGCGTTAAAATGTTCCTGAGTCTTAAAAATAGAACTGATTATATTACCTGTGGTTTTTTAACAAATGAAGCTATAAGAGATACTTTTTAATAAGATTAGTTTCTTAAGAATAAGAAAAAGAAAAATATCTTTGGTGAAAACTTAAATAGAGTAGATTTTTGTATTGTTAAAAAAAGCATACACCAAAAGTTGTAACAATTTTGTGATCTCTTGTAATAATTAAGTAAAGAAAATTATATAAATAAATAAAAGTTGATTATACTAAAGAAGGGTTCCATTTAGCATTTATGCACTTTTGAACTGTCACATTGTTAAACTTGCTCTCTAAAGGCAAATTTTGCTTGGGGGCCACGCAGCCCCCATGATACCAGTTACGTTTGAAAAATTTACGATACCAGTTAAGGGTTAAATCTTTATAAAATAAATAAATCAAGTTAACACCTGTACCCATATTTTTCGAACAGTGTTTCCAGATTTGTGAAAATAATTTATTTTCTGAATGGGCATGAAATTTCGTTTTATAATTTGAACTACTTTCATCTATTGATAATAATACAACGCAACGTCTCTAATCGACTTAAAAATTCTGTTGTGCAAGTTGAAATGTCAATATTGTAGATATGACAACAAAACTAAGCTAGTTGTATTGTGGCCAACCTGGTAACATCTTACCGTGCCCGTAGATTTAGTCTTTTGTCTCCCTCTAGAGTCATTCTGACCACGTGTGTGGTACTGGTGACAGTCTTTGTACTCGAGCTCAAAATAAATTTATTTTACCTTTTAAAATCTGTGTTTATTTGTCAATAACCCAAAGTATTTTATTTTTACTAATTAGCAAAGATAAAATGCAAGTAGCAGGTTGTCTTTATCATCTTTTGTCTCCTTACATCATTATTATTAATGCTTCGACGATCGAGGATTTCTATTCAACGCTTTTAAAATATATGAACTTTGGATTCGGACTCGAGTCTTTTCACTATTACTCGGATTCGGCGAGTCCAAGTACTTGGTCGAAAAATCCTACTTCGAATGTATTTTTTAGTTTTCGAAGTAGGATTTTCTGGTTTCGATACAGCGAGTGGAAGCTGAGGTGTAATCCTCGGCTTCGGACCTTAAATTCCTGACCGAGGTCCTCTTAAAGAAAATCAGAATAATTTAATTATAAAATTAATGTACACAGTCTCAAGTGCATAAAAACAGAAAAGAAAATTATATGAGATGTTCTCGGTTTATTACAAAGGATAGAGCGATTACAGGCCTTGCAGCTAGGCATCCGAGTCTCTATACTCGGATACCTAGCTCAAAGGCCTGTAATCGGTCTAAACGATGTTATTCGAAATAGCCAGAAGTATATCATTGGGGCTAGAGGACATGCTGAAATAATTGTGATTGGTATTTTTTATCTTTTCTAGCCAGCACTAGGCCTACTAGCTAGTCCAAATGTTAAAAGTAGACTAAAGTTACGTAATGAAAATATCATATGTACTGTACGTATCATATGTACTGCACATGGATTCTGCTAAATAAACTGATGCGGTCTAGCCATCTTATAGTCCCCGTAGCTACTGCTCAGAAGCCTTCGAAGTAATGGACAAAAAAATTCTATCCTAATGAAAAACTTTAGAGCCTCTTTTTTATTCGCGGATAGAACAAGATAAAAAGTTGAATCCTTGGTATGATTACATTGAATGACTATAAATTTTTCAATGTTAATTATTAATAAAATATGACATTTTAGTATGCCACGTACTGTACTGTACTGTACACTAATTTCGTTATTAATAATATGTTTCTAAAATACTTTCGATAGTCATTTAACGGACTTTCGGCAATATCGGATATTCTCTTCCCCCAATTAGTCCTTTAAATCGAAGGCCTACTGTACTCTGCTTTTAAGCTTTTTTTATTCGTCGAAATCATTCGAAAATTAAAATATAAAAATAGATCGTGGAAAGTACAGTACGTTCTAACTGTAAATGCTTATTTGTAAGATATTTTCTAATTTTAGAAATATATGTATATACACCAGTGTCGATAAGGGAGGCTTAACCTAGATCTACAGCTTAGAAGAGGCCATTGGCACGAATGTGTCACTAATCATCATATTGTAATATTTAATATTAATATATCATACAATTTAATATACATAATTAATGCTATTTAAAAACCGAGAAAATAAAAATAAATTTCTTTTTGTCTCCAGAAAACCATTGCCTTTCGTAAATTTATACTTTAAGAACAATAACACAAACATTTATAATTGAAATATGTATAATTAACTTCTAAATAAAGATGTTCAATTTGATTTTTAAACAGGTCTTAGTTGAAAAATTATTACGTTCCTGTAGTAATATTAAATATATATATTTATTATTGCGAACAAAAGATGGAATGGGATGTAGACAACGTCTTGATCAACTTCTTGGTTCCCAGGTAAGAATATTTGATACGTTAAAATTTAAGGAATATATAAACTTTAAATTACTGGTTAAATTTATGAAAGTACAGTCATTCGATTCTGCATTAAAAGAAGGATTTCCCTTGGGTTAATAGTTAAGATATTACAAAAAACCCATTATCATTTTTAAACAGTATTATAATTTTAAAATGAATTGTATCTAGCCTTTCATCATCTCGGCATTTGGATATACAGTGTGTTTCCTAAAAAGCGATCCAGTGTAATAGCTCAAAGAACTCAGATTTATGTAAAGAATATTTGCTTTCATACATTATAAAGGATGGGCATTGATTTATCAGTGAATTTTCCTTTAACCCCTGCATTTTTTGGGGTAAGCTCCTATCATTGGAACGTTAGTTTTAGCTACAATATAGTTATAGAGCAGGTCGAAATTAGTACATTTCATATTTCCGTCAATTAAAAATAGATTAAATTTTCGAAAGTACGTGGCATGTCCTTAAAAGGTTTGTTCGGTTTCATTATAGTGCTGAGCCGCATTTAAATGTTTGCTTCTCAATCTTTAAGTAGTTTCTGATAAATACAGCTGTCTTACTGTTCCAACGCATACGCCACTCATCCTTCAGCAGATGTAACCTATGCATAATGTATAAAATATATATTTTATGAATGATATAAAAAATAGATACCACCTATGATAAGCATTGCATTAAGTTACGAAAAAAGCACGAAATTCTGCTGTAATGAACTGGTGAATAAATTATTAGATGGCAATAGAATCGTGATAAAAATGAGTAAACTACACAGCCTGGTATGAACCGAAATATCACTGGAACGAACGAAAAAAAGATTATGGGAATTTGAATTTGCTTTCTACTTTCCACTTTTATCTGAGTGATTTTCGAATTTTCACAAAATGCACTTGTAGGAAATTCATAATACCAAGATTAATACCCATTCAGATACCCGAGCTGAATAATAATAATCATTCGCTGTAAGGTGAATTCGCACACAGGAATATCGCTGTACTATAATATAAAATTTAGTATAGCGTTTATTACACTAAAAGATCGTTGAAGACCATTTCAGCATATTAGTACGGGGACTAATAGCTCAAGCTACTGATGAAATCCAAACTGACAACTTTTCGAGAGAGAGAATTGAATTTTATGGATTACAATCTTTTAAAAAGCATTGTTCTATTTTTAATTAACTATGTTGAAATTTAGATCTTTGCCCATCTGAAGCGAGAAAATCCTAAGAGCCTTACCAAAGTCATACCAATTAGTGGTGATGTTACACTTCCGGGACTTGGACTCAGTGAAACAGATACAAACATTCTTACAGCCAATGTTTCTGTTGTTTTTCATTGTGCAGCCACAGTCAAATTTGACGAACCTTTCAAGTAAGTCCGAAATATTTACAAGCAAGCATTGAATTTTAAGATTTAGTAATAGACAAAATTAAATATTTTATTCAGGAAATCTGTATCAATTAATGTAGAGGGAACAAGAAGAATAGTAGAATTATGCCATAAGATGGTTCATATATCGGTAAGTAATGTAGCATGTTTTTATGAAATATTCAAAACAATGAAATTTGTTCTCTCTCAGGCTTTAGTACACGTTTCAACAGCTTATTGTTTTTGCTACCGTAAAGAAATCGAAGAAATCGTCTATTCTGAATCTATGACTCCCCAGAAAATCATTGAGATGGCAGAGTAAATAAAATCATTTTAACAGCTTTCTTGTTTTTCGAGCATATATGTAATATGTATTTTCCAGATGGATGGATGAAGATCTACTCGCTAGTATTGTTCCAAAATTATTAAATGGTCGTCCTAGTAACTATCATTATACAAAAGCATTAGCAGAAAACCTCTTAACTCAAGAAATGAGCTTTCCAGTTGCAATAGTTAGGCCATCTATTATAACGGCTGCATGGAAAGAGCCAATTCCAGTGAGTAAATCTGACTTCAGATTTCCTGTGTGAGAAATTTATTATTTTTGATGCACGAAATGCTACCTTATAATGAAGATTCAGCTCGAATTTTAAAATATCCTATTAACACCTGTATATTTTATACTAACCTGATTACTATTTTTCTTACAGGGTTGGGTCGATAATTATAACGGTCCATCCGGATTTATTGTTGCGGTAATTAATTTCATTTTAGAAGAAAGCAGTTTGCATCAAAATAACGTTTTAATAAATATTTACAGACAGGAAAGGGAATTTTGAGAACCATGCTTGTGGATCGAAACATAGGTGCAGATGTAGTTCCAGTTGATCTAGTTGTAAATCTGATGATCACAGTTGGTTGGCATATTGGCGTATGTAGGTAAGTTCAGACAAAACGTAGTTTTGTTATCAAAAGTGCAATTTACTTACTTGACTTAGGCCAAACTCTCTCACTGTTTACAATTGTACAACTGGCTCGATTAATAAAATCACTTGGGGAGACATCAAGAAGATTGCCTATCCCATTATAATCAAACATCCTAGTATGCAGGTCTTTCGTTATCCAGGTGGAAGTTTTAAAACTAGTCGATTTTGGAATGAAGTATGTCTTCATTTTCAGCATATTCTGCCTGCTGCAATTGTCGATTTTTTAGCATGGATAACAGGCAATAAACCTGGGTAGGTTTCTAAACAGTAGGTTTAAAAATAAATTTGACTTTGTACTTTAGTGTTTCTCTCTTCTTTTTTATAGATTGTTAGAAGTATATAAAAGTCTTCATCGTGCAGTTCGCCTTTTAGAATATTTTACGACAAATGAATGGCATTTTGATTGTAATAATGTATTATTATTAATGAATTCATTATCAGGAAGAGATAGACAAGTTAATTATATTCATAAAAGTTTTATAGCATAGAATTTCATCAGTAATGCCTTATACTAGTTATCTTTCTTTCAGACATTTGGTTTCGACATACGACCAATTAACTGGTCATTATATATGGAAAATTACGTGTTAGGAGTAAGAAGATATTTGTTAAAAGAAGACGAATCTACATTACCTGCAGCACGAACAAACCTAACAAGGTATTTTTTTCATTTTTTTGTTTTCACTATTTTGACTTTCAAGAGAATTAATTTTTTTTTTTTTTTATAAATATATTGTTTAGGATTTATTATTATTGGCAAGCAGCACATGGATTGCTTCTCTGTGTTATCTTCTATTTATCAAGACAGACAATGGCTGCTCACTCCATATGGTGGTTTCTAGTATCTTTGATTCTTCAAATACAAGACAAAATACGAAAATTATTCGCTTCTTGAAGTATCATTATTTCTGTAAATCAATATGTACAATTTAAAATCTCATTAGCATAACAAAACTATCGTTAAGAACTAGTCTAAATTTGTACTCAAATTAAACTGTGTTTTAGCTTGAAAATTATTCAATAAGTTATATTTTTTGTTAAAATGTCAAATGGCTTATTTTAGTGTTATGTCTAAAATGTTCTATAAAATAAACTGAATTTCTTAAAAATCAAATTTAATTGAATACTTTGTATCTTAGCCAGATGGCTGAAGCAGTTATTTGAAGGCATCAGCCTAAACTCTGGGGACCAGGAAGTTTTCATGGCTGATCTATCTAGACACAATGAGCACTGTCCTTCACTACCTGGCTGCCCCCATTGTGGGCCTGGAGAAAGGCTTTAGTGCCCACAGAATAAAGCCAAAATGCTTCAAATAAATCAAATGATACTTTTCTGATTAAATCCACAAAATATAATTAATTGATTTTCATATTGTATGATGATAATTTTGTGCATTTTGATCTAAACTGAAGTCAATTTACAAACTCAACAGAACTTTATTTGTATATATTCATTCACAAATTAACACAAACCTCAAGACACTGGAATGCACAACTCAGTGTTTTCTTGTTAACAGCTACTCTAATAATACATCAGATCACTTATTCTTTGGTGAACTAAATATAAATTTGGTTAAGGAAAAAATTTGTTCATTTGTTAAACATCATATGTTACAAGCTAACTACATTCTGGTGGGAAATCATGCCTCATTAACAACAGGCATCTTAGAAACAAAATAATCTAAGTGAAATATTGTAATAATACATACACATTCATACTCACATCACAAAGCTATATATAAAAAAAAAAAAAAAAAAGAAAAAGGTCAATCTGGAAAATATGATCCCATTGAAAAGTTGTAGCATTAGATAGTTGCTGTATACCAATTGTATATCAAAAATACAATAATTATGCAGTAATAGTTATTACAAAAAAGTGCAGACAAATGTGTCACAGTGGTCTTGATTTCACTAGATCTCCTGTATTAAGTCGCCGACGGGGTAAGTCACCAAACATTTCTGTTCCATCGGTAATAGTGAGGGCTTTTATACTTTCTGCAATTTGTTCTGGGTCTCCAGTAACTACAAACTATAAAAATAATTAATAAAATAGAGTACTTATGGGTTAAGAGGATGCCAGTCGGAAATAGCAATCAAAGTCGCAATTTTGAATGAAAATATCAAAATAACAATAGACTAGTAAATTTAAATCTAAAAAGAAGAAAATTCATTGATAAGGTTGTAAAAAATGAAAAAAAAAAAATAATAATTAGGATGATTATATCAGCAAATATGGCAAATAGTCACCTATTTGCCATATACACTACAAAACAATTTGCATATTCAAGTGGTTTATTATTAGAATTTGTGAGATTTTGTTATATCTTTATAAATCGTAATTTATTGTTTAATTTAACAATTGTATTAAATTTGACAAATAAAAACTTGCATTATTCGGAAAAAAATGCTATTTCCAACTGGCGTCCTCTTAACCCATAAGTATCTACAATAGTAATGGTTAAAATTCACGTTAACAGTTTCATATAAAAATACCTTTTCCTCTTCTTCAGACCCACTAGAGTGATTAAACTGTGACCAAACTGGAACTTTAATTGGAAGAGATTGTGCAAATTGTTTAGGCAACTTTTTACGAAAATTTAAAGTATTTTCTTCTGTAGTACTGCTGTCTGTAAAAATTAAAAAAAAAAAAAAGAAAAAATTTAATTATTAAGCAGAATATTTCTATTTTATTTTTAAATATAAATTAATCTATTATATTTGAAATATAAAATCACTCACCTCTGTTAAAATTCCTAGTTATTAGCAGCAATAAAAATTCAAAATTGTGAATAAAGACCTTAGCTAAATACTATTTTTTTTTTCAATAAATTTTGTCAAAGTGATAAAGACTTACAAATACAATTTCTAACTTATTTACAGCTATGATTATATTGCAGAATCTCCCAAGTATTTTATAAAATATAAAGATTGAGAATTGTTGAAATAGTTCAATGGCACATCAAAGTCACTAATTTTTATATAAATGGACAGATGGCTGGACAGCAATGGCAACAGGCTGATGTCTTTGCCACCCAGCCATCTGGCCATTCAAGTCAGGTCAGGTATCTCAAATTTTGTAGGGGTGATCAGTCCCAGATATATCATACCCATCCCTCACCAGCCAGCTGCTCCATTGTCAGCAAGGGCATAATGGACCTGGGAGAAAAAAGAGGCCATCTTAGGCTGTGTTTATGTAGATGCGAGAAATGCAAGAGAAGAGAGAAAAACAGGAGGATCAAGCAAATCAAGATCATGCACCTACAGGATTTCTCTCATTTTCTCTCCAGTTGCATTCATGCAAAAGTAGGAAGGAAAGTCCAATGAATTTTACAACAAACTAAAGTAAAAAAAATAATGAAAAATAAAGGAAACTACTCTATTAACTTTTCTTCCTTTTATTTATGGCCTTGTATTTTTTGCAGTTTCTCAAGCCATTTTCTTCAGATTTGACAGATAGTTGGCAGGTGCCATTGTTGCCATTCTATTGATGTTGGGCAAAAACAAGGAAAATTACTGTATGTACCAACTCAAGAGAGAAGATAAAAATACATGAGGAAGTTCAACATTCACAAGGAAAATTCATGCATTTCTTGAGCATAATGCACAAGAACTCAGTTTCCCTCTTCTGCAAAAACAGCTTTGCAAGTGCAAATTCTGATTCCAAAAGTTCTCTTTTGCATGTTTTTTCTCTTCTCATATCTACATAAATGCAGCCTTAATATCCTCAAGGCAGATAGAATGGAGAGGAAAAATACTAATTTTCAGACTATAAATAGTAGTTAGTTATGTATAAATTGAAAAACCTAACAGACTTAAAAGCATACTGACAATTATATTAGCAAGAACAAAGTTTTATTAATTTAATACAACAAAAATTTTAAGAATGAAGTTTTACTTTTAAATTCAATGGTATATATAAATATATATATTTTTATATTGAAATTCTATGCACGGAAAGCTAGAACTTCTGTAAATAAGTAATATAAAACCTTCAACACTTTTTTCTAGCAATTTTCTTTAATTGAACTAACATTTTTTAATATTTAAGCTATATTTAATGGCCTTCCACAGGTTTGACAATATTTGGAATGTATGATATTCCAAAATTTGTTTTCGTTCTGATGACGTCATGTTTTTACAAAAAAGTTTTTCTTTTAACAAAATTTCTTTTAAAATTACAATCATTAAATATGCATGGAGATAGAAAAAAAATTTAAACACAATTAATAAATGTAAATGGATAACAAATTAGAGTTATACATTAATTAGTTTTCGTTCCTATGACGTCAATGTTTTTACAAAATTATTAAAACACAATTAATTAATTAATATGTAAATGGATAATGAATTACAGAGAATGACTATTACCAATAGGATTAAAATATTTATAAATTCGTAGGATTGCAATGTCATATCGCATGAGATAGATGGGTTAGCACACTTCCTTTAAGGGGTTCTCAATGAGTGATTGCTAGGCCGTAGATAGAGAGTATCTCTGCTGTTAATGCAATTTTCTCTGAGCCTTTTATATTGAAATATAACTAACTATATTTAGCTCTTTTCTTAAATTTTATGTTCTGTATTTGTAGCTATTTATAATATTGAAAAAGTATTTTTGGATTTTCCTCCATAATGATCAATTATAAACCAATGATACTAATGAATAAAATATACATTGTATATCAAATATTTGTATATAAAATCATCATTGAAATTATTTTGAACTGAATGGTTTAGACCAGGAGATTCCCAGCAATCTTATCAGCCTCTTGGGTATCAATAAAAATTATATATTCATGTACAATGTTTCTATTTTATATTTAACTCTTTAAACACAAAATCAGTCAAAGGGAAAGTTGATTCACTAGTTTTGCTAAACAAATTTTCCTGCAGATTAATAGGTAAAAACAATTTCATCTTCAAGTACATAAAAAATTTTAAGAGATTAAAGAGGTAAATAAAAAGTAATAATTCAAATACATTACAATTTTAAATCTTGTTTAAAATTACATACAATACAATAATCAAATTATAAATTTTTTTATAATTTATACGATCCTTTTAGAAAAATATAAAATTAATGACCAACAATATTTTTTATAAATTGTTATTTTATTTTATTGAAAATTGAAGTATACCATCCTAAACTGTAGACTCCTGTTTACTTTTCTACATAATCCCCGTTCTTTGCATACATCTTTATGTTCAGGAAGTTTGAATATTCCTGTGATAGAACTCCATTCTAGCAGTCTGAAGGCACTGACACTCTTTCTCAATTGCTACCTTTTTTTTTTTATAATGTTAGCCTTACCTATGATCCTTCACAAATCCAAACAGACAGCAGACTGAGTGCTAGATCAGAGCTATAGGAGAGATGGGGAAGTACTTCCCAACCAATATTGTCAATTTTTTTAATGTGCAGAAGGCAATGTGATGCCAAGCATTGACATGTTGCAGGGTAATCTTTCTTCTAGGACATTTATGCAATGAACATTGGAACTTATCCAGTGTCTGAACATAACAATAAGCATTGTTTGTTTGCCCACTTCCAAAAAAATAAGCCAAAATCAATCCTTCACATCCTGGAAGAGTGCGCCTTAACCTTCACAGATGACAGCACTGTCTTTGCTTTCTTCTTTCTTGAATTCAAATGATGCCATTCCATACTCTGTTGTTTTGTTTCTGGCTCAAAATGGTGAACCTGCTTTCATCACTTGTCACAATACTGAGAAAAAAAATCATCTTCATTTCAATATCTCTGAAACAACTAAAGTGATGGTTTGGCAATGAATTTTGTGGTATTTGGTCAATAAACACAGCACCCAACAAGCACAAACTTTCCTGTTGCCTAAACTTTTAATCACCTTCTGAACTGTATGGTGCTCTATTTCAAGTGTTCTCACTATTTTCCTCCACAGTCATCCAGAATCATCTCATCAACTTGCATCTTGTTGCAGCTGTTCAAGAGCAACTGTTACAAGTCTAATCTTGGATACTTGTGTTCATCTTTAAAATGTTTCACCCATCTAATACTATTGGTGCTCATACACTCATTTCTCTTTGTATGGAGAAATCTCTGGTGGTGAATTTCTTAAGTAGGAATTTCTCCCTTAAATTAATGAGAAACTGAAAGACAGCAGGGTGATGAAATGAAACATCATTGTATACCATTTTGTTTGGCATCCATGTGGTCACATGATCAAGCTATTAATGCATCACCTAACATACAGTAATAATTCTTTTGTTGTTGCAGATTTTACTACAAAAAATTTTTGCTCGTTACTTTTCATATGACCTTTGCATTTTTTAAATTTTATTTGAAAACATTTTTGTGCAATAAACAAATACAAGCAAACTAAGGTTTGTTTCAATTAAGTGAACATCCAAAAATTATTCTTAGAGAAGGTGGTTATATAAATATAGATTAAGAAAGTAAAAATTATTAGTAATCTAAATTCTCAGACCTTTTAAAAAGTTAGATGCTTTAATTTCTATCAAAATACAGATTTTCAATTTATCTATCTAGAAAAGTATTTACTTTTTTCTTACAATTTAACAACTCTTTCTCCATTAACAGAACACACACTGGTTATTGGTATTAAATGGGCACATCTCTCTAATTTTAATGACAAAAAATGATTTAAGTGAAAATAAAGTACTTAGTACAGTCAAATTCACTTAATAGAGCATCCTTGGAATCACTTGTCATGCTCCCTTGTCAAAAGTGATAAGATCACCCAGGAGGTTGTTAATGGCATTTGATTTTTTATACTTTTTCATGTCTTAGGAGCTCTATGTAACTTATAACACACTTAAAAATTCATCATCAAATAATTTTACTGTAACTTACATATTTTTTCCATTCTTATATCATCAATGTCATTGTTCCATTCAATAATCAGTAAATACAGTATATTTTCAAGTCACATTAATTTTTCTTCCCAGAAAATGTAGTAGGAAACCTAGCTGAAAGGAAGTGAACATCTTTGTTCTAAAATTTCTGAATGCTCTCTAAAAAAACATAGAACTGTATTTGATTTTATGCTGTGTCTTAAAATAAGATCATGTATCTTCAGTCACTAATCACTTCTTGCCTTGTTCTCTCAAGATGAAGATGAACAAATAGTGTAGATCACATATACATGAACATTTGATACCAATTTACTATGTAATTGTTTCTCGTACATTATATGTATACAAAAAAAATCAATAATTGCTTCTTACATGTTCATTATGATTGTAATACATATGAAGATTTTGAAAAATTCTTGACATGTATTAGAAAACTGAGCAAAGGAAAGTTTCATCACATTTCCATAAAACACCATAATGTAGAGAGCACTGTTACCCCACACTCTGGACGGTAATGCACAGTAAGATTAAAGAAGATTAGATTAGACAAAATTTTATCTATTTTTGAAACTCTGTCCATAGTTTTCCTGTAGCAACATAAATGTGCCTATAAAATTTTATCAAGCTATAACAGTTTTTTCTCTAAATGATCTAAAATGGAATACTTATAGATATTGTATATTTTAGGAAAATCAGTAAATTTTTAGAAACATAACATTATTAAGGAAATTGGAAGCTTATGAAATTATCTTTGTTGTGTCTGATGATTTTATATGATTTCTAACATCTACTTAAATAGTTGCTTATTCATTTGTTAAAAATAAATTTTATGGGAGTAAGCTGTATGTTTAAAATATACAGGAGTGCCATTTAATTTAAATAAGTAGGACTTGATTGTACAAACAAATTTGTAGAATTTTATATAAAATATGGTGCAACTATTGTTTCTACTAATAAAATCATGACAAATTATAACAACAAACAATAAATTAAGTCTTTAGTTTAAAGTAAAGGCAAATTTTAATATTACAAAAACAAATACAAAAAATATTTTTAAGTTTGAGTAAAATTTAATAGCAGTAGAAATAACATCATTTAGAGTTAATTACATTAATGCAAATTTATTACTTATTACAATTATAAGGAATAAATCTGACCTTATAAGAGTGTGTGTGTGTGTGTGTGTGAATACATTATTATTGAAGTAATTTTAGTATTAGTAAAGAATTTAGTATTTTGAAATATATGTAATTAAAAAATTGTTTGCACTTAAATTAACTGAGACTATTTTTGATTTGTTTTAATAATAATAATAAAGCAAATATTGAAGTTTTTGATCATTGTTGAGCCTGAATACTTGAGAAATGTAATAAATTGTAATAAATCTACATTTTAAGTAATTCATTTCTTCATTAATTATTTGCATATAAAATCAGTAACAAATTGTGTTAAATTACAATTTTTGAATTAATGATAAATATTGAAATTTTATTAACTTATAAATATAATACTTATTTTCTAACTAATTTACAAATCATTACCATCAGTATCATCTTCATAATCTGAATTATAAAATGGTGTGTTATTAAACTCTTGTTCCAAGCCTTCCATATCAAAAATACCTGAATGAATAAATAAATTTGCAATTTATGCTGTATTATTTGTAACTTTTACAAATTGGTTCAATCAAACTAACCTCCAGCATCTGTATCCAGACTAAATATTCTCCTTCTTGATAACATCTGTGATTTAGCAGCATTCTTTTTTCCAGCTGAATGATGCTGAAATTAAAGAATATTTATTCCTAACTGACATTAAAAAATACTAGGATTGCATTTGTTCTTTTCAACACCTGCAAATTGAGCTGAGCGAGATTTATGCTTAAATATAGTATTTATTTAGTGTCTTTCAAAATAGAAGCAATGATATCTGATTTAGTAGTTGATTTTTGGAAACATGATTCCTTTAAAACTTTGCTTCAGAATAATTTAATTCAATTTGTATGCTACAGCTTTTGGATTGTTCAATGTTGCCAGCCAGTAATGTTCACAAATAAACAAATATAGAGCAGTTAACAACTGAGTCTAAACTCTAGCTTATTTTAAATTATTTAAAACTTGAGGGGTGTCAAGCAAACATTGTATGTTTATGCTTGGAAACAAAACAAAACTGCTGCACATACTTTGTAAGCATTCAAAATCACAAGTCTATGGTAGTTTTCCTGTAATATTCCTCAAGGACATGATCTTATTGCAATTCCAAATAGCTTACAACATTCAGTAATATGGACTTGATGTCCATACCAAATTTGGTTGAGATCAGTCAAGCAGTTTCAGAAAAGTTTATTTAAATCCATTGATATTTTACTATAAAGAAATGAACTTTGCTCGCTCAGCTCAATTAAATTAAAATGATATATATACTTTTGTATCAAATGACTGTGATCGATTATATGAAGGATTTCTTGTATTCACTTCAATTTTGGTTTGAGGTAGCTGAAATGGTTTAAACTGGCCATTGCATGAAGTTTCAAATAATTCTTGAGCTATTAAAACATAAGAAAAAATTTAAGAACATGTACATTAAATTTAAATTAGTAACTAATATAGTTTAGAATAACTATATAGTATAAGTTGTACTTACACAGAGAATTATCATCATTTGAATTTAAGGAAGAATAGTTATTTTCAGACATTGCTTCTCCTATACTTTCTTTCAAATCTTTTTCTTGTTGTTTCTGTAACAAACTCAGCATTGCACATTTATCTCTCCTTACTTTTTTCTGTAAAGCTGCAAAATTATTTTGCTGCTGTTGAGTGAATATCCTAAAAATAAAGTGTATTCAAGTAAGTGATAGAAGCATTTTATAATTTTAATTGAAATACTTACCTTATTCTTTCTTCCATAGCTTTGTGTTCTTGCTGCAAGTATGTAGCTACCTGTTTCTGTATTGAGGCTAAAGCAGACTCTGTTTTACTACTTTTCATTTGAAATTTTACATCTAAAAATTTATTTACATGTTAATATAAAATAATTCAATATCAGCTACAATAAATCAAGAATAGAGTCATTTCATAGTGTCTAAAATTATTCTAAATTTAGGCATATAGTTAATGAATGTAAGAATATAGTATTAAATTTGGTATGATTATTTACAATCAAAATTAACTCAATTTCTAAAAAATTAATAGAATGAAAGAGATAGGTATCAAACTAACTGTTGCAAGACTGGCAAAGGCAAAGCTTACTGAATATATTAGCCTAAGTCAGAGAATGATATAGAATTAATATGAAAAAAGCATTTGTATAATTATAAAGGTTATATTCCACCACATTAACTAGAAGCAATAATCTATTTAAACTTTCCGATATCAATTATTAATAATTCAATTCCATATTTTGTAATCTAAAACATTTATATTTGGATAATGAAACTAATTGTTTTTGGATTTTTTTTATTACTTAAAAGTTGCAATTATAAATTTAATTTTGATTGCATTTAAAATTGAAGTTCATTTAGCTACAAGATGAATTATATATATATATATTTTTTTAATTAATATAGTTTTATTTAGAATGTATATACAGTCGACCCCTCTATAACGCGGTAGATACGTTCCACTTTATAAGAATTTCAGGTTGTAGGAATCCTTAAATATATGAGCCAATCACAGCCCAGCACATGTGCAGTTTATGGACTACAGCTGTTTGAAAGGTTTTCTTCCATAAAATTAATCTATTCTAGACTAATTTGACTCAACACTTCCAAAACACGTATAATTTTTTGGGAATAATCTGTATAAACTATGCTATAAACAAAAAATTGTAGGATTACTTACCGAGTGTGCACCGTTCGATGACGCCCTTGCTTAATTAAGCTTGTTTTCGTCGCGGAGCAGCGCATCGAATGGTGGGCGTATTTTCTGATAAGTTATTTTTCTGCGAAAAATTCGCTGAACTTTGGAGACATCATTAATAGAAATAATTTTTATGGCCGTTGAATAAGAAATGTTTTTTCATAAGAAATGTATAAAATTACAGTACTGTATTAGACTTACAGTACCTAATTTGTATACTGTACAGACGATAGTAAACTCAACTTACCCGCCTAAACTCTCTGTAGTGTGTAAGTAGTTCGGCTGCTCGTCCACTATTGGTCCAGATTAGACCAATTCTGTCGCGACACGAGTCGGTGATGACGTTTTACCGCATTTTATGAGTCTCTTTTAGTGTCTTTATATGAATATGGTCGCAATTTTTTTGCTGCGATATATGAATCCGCATTATATGAACCCGCGTTATGGGGGGGGTCGACTGTATATTGAAATCTAAAGGTAACAAAAGAATGATTGATCAATATGATACAATTTTTTTTTTTAGTTTCTCAATCGCTCTCTCATCAAAGATCAGTAAAATTATGGAAAATTTAACACAAACCAGTAATTATGTGACACTGAATTATACTTAACTAGAGTTATCATATGTAACAAGGTACGGTACATACAGTAATGCTAGATCACTACTGTATTTATAAAGTCACCCATAATCAACTATGCCAGTGTCAGTATGGTCAAAAAATTTTTCTGCAGGCCAATGAAATTTTTTGTGGACCAGCAGTTCAAAAACAGATATAGATGATAAAGTGAAAATAACTATAAAATTTACTTTTTTCTGTTTAAAAAAAAACAAATAATCTTCAATTCACTATTTTTCTTGCAATATACATCAAAAATAGAGTTTAAATCAATCACACTCCAGTTTAAACAAGAAATGATACATTAATAGTAGGGTAATAAATGACACTATTTACAACATATTTGACAAATGTCAGTTAGATAAAAACATTAATTTTTTACAGAGAAGTAAAATACAGCATGTCTGAGAAAGATCGATCATTCAAAACATTAATAACAAAAATACTAACAGGTGAAATGAAATGCAGTTTGCTACAAAAGAATGAAGAAATCTAAGTTTTTTCTGGTATCAATTGCCTGAGGGAGATGGATTGATTGGTCGTGGAGGACCCATACCTTGGCCTCTGCAATTGCCTGATATAACTCCACTGGATTTCTTTTTTTGGGATTATGTTAAAGACAGGGTTTATCAAACACCAATTTCTGATATATCCGTTTTAAAGTAAAGGATACAATTAGCAATCCTCACTGTTACACCGCAAATTTTGAAAAACACTTGGAGGAAAATCGAGTACAAACTTGACATTGTTCGTGCTACTAATGAAGTTCACGTACAGTATATTGAAGGTACCAAAAAACTTAGATTTCATTCTTTTGCAGCAAACTGCATTTCATTTCACCTGTTAGTATTTTTGTTATTAATGTTTAGAATGATAAAGATCTTTCTCAGACACTCTGTATATATAGCAAGTGCTCAATTAAATGGACTCATTCAGTAAAGGGTATCTACTATTGCCAAACATCCATTAAATCTAATGTGTTTTAAAAACACATTTACAACATACAGGATTCATTAAAATGTTATAATGTATATAAAAATAATTTATTCATACTTAATGTACATTGATAAAATTATATTCTTTGATCCATCTTTTAATGCATTTTATCAGGAAATAAAAAAAATAAAGGTTTTGACTGCCTTTACAACAATTTTTTTTAACTCTTAAATCCAAAGTATAATTATTAGTTGATATTAATTCAAAAGGTACTTTCTAGTGTATTTGAAATACTATTGCATCAATTTTCTTTACTTATTTATGTTGTTTAGCAATATTCTGTAATCATATTTTGCTTCTTATTAGACCCAATTATTAATAAGCTAGAGTGACAAATAAAGAGTATATTTAATAACAACAAAAGTTCAAAAATTTGAGTCTTTTTTTTTTATCCCAAAACATTAGCTCTTACACACTAAATGTTTTTCAAAATTCTCATGGATATTTAATAATTTTTACAATGCATTAAGCATTTATCAACAGGAGAACAATCAAATTTCAGATTATTATATTTGTCAATTCTTTAAATTTAACTTTTTTTGTTTTATTTGTGAAAAACATACTATAAATTTAAGTATTTATTACAATATAGTCATTTGAAACTTCATTAGTCATCATAAAATCAGATGCAAATTTTAAATAATATACACTCATTGCCATTAAAATTAGTGAACCAAGAAGGAGTTGTCAGAATAGAACAAAATTGTACATGTGTAAGTGTAATGGTGATATAAGTACGTGATTACAAACTGAAAGCAAAGGTTCATTTATTGCAGGAAAAACTACAAATGACATGAGATTCTAGTAACCTGTTTGGCCACCTCTAGCATGAATACATGATGTGATATGGGCATGCATGGAAGCTTACAGGTGCCATATGGTACCTTGTGGCATGATGTCCACATTTGCTGCAAGAGATTCTGTAGTTTGGTCAAACTCTTAGGCTGTCCAACTTGGCATCCCAGGTGATCCCCAACAGGTTCAATCAGTGACAAATTAGGAGACCAGGCAAGCCAAGAAAGTGTGGCAATGTGGTGGAAGCAGTCCTGTGATGACCTTGCTGTTTGGTTGAGTACTGTACTGTTGGAAAATGGCTCTTGGGAGCTCTGCCATGAGAGGCAACACATGGCTGCAGGATGTCACTAACATACTGCTGGGCTGTCATGGTTCTTTCGATCATTACTATAGGTGACCAGCTGTTGTATGTGATGGCACCACAGACCATCACACCATCTGTGGGGAGTGTACATCACTCCAAAGTGTAGGCAGGATTGAGGCATTCACCAATGGGGCCTCCAGACACTAACGTGGCCGTCATCAGTGCCAAACTGAATCAAGATTTGTCACTGGTTCCATTCTGTTGCACTCCAATCCCATTGGGAGTGATGCCACTCCAAATGGAGGCAAAAGTGGGTGGTGTCAATGACAGCACATAATAATGGCCCACCATATATCAAATGTTCCTCACCCAAGTGCCTCAAAATGGTAGACAGACACAGGGTACTAATGATGATGCCACCTGTGTCTGGATAGCAGACAATGATATGATCAGCTGTGTGCATATTTGTTGAAGGACCTGGCAGTCCTCTCAACTAGTGGTCTACCAAGGGTGTCATGAGCCTGGGTGCCATGTGATCTCTTTCATCCACTGGTCCCAACACCTCCTCACAGTGTTGTCAGAATGGCCTAGGTGGTGGGCTATTCAGTGAGATGACTATCTGGCTTCTATCAACCTGATGATCCTTTCCCTATCAAACTCTGTTAGTAGTTCATATGGTCTTCAAATGCAACATAATTTCATCTCTAGTGATATAGTTTACCTGTTGCAGAGGGATGCTACAGACAGAATGCCTTTGCACACTTTTTAAGGGAGACACTTTAATGCCCTCTGCTGGCATTACACAATGAGCCATAACACTAACTTTAAATCATTTCCATATCTGCTTCAGACTTATCCTCATGCCAAGTTTTGCAGTGATAAGACAACTCCTTGCTGCACTAATTTTTATGGCAATGACTGTATATATAAAAAATTTCAATGTTATCTTATTAATTTATTGTTTAGTTTTCATTTTTATTGTTTAATAATGCTGACTGTTTTTATCACTACATTTTCTTTTTTCAATACAAGCATTAACTTGTTTAAAACAAATATACCATTGAAATTTATGTTCATAAATTTGGAGAACATATTGAGTAAAACTTTGAAGACACTTATTATTACAATGAATACTCTCCAGTATAATGATTATAGTATAATTGTTTATTTCATAAATTTTTAATAAGATCCAAAATAAGCTTACCTGATTTTGAATCAAGCTGATTATCATTTATTTCAGGGAGAATAATTTTAAAAACCAATGAATAGTTTTCTATATTTTGCTTTGTTTTTAAATCTGTAAGTTTTGTTTTTAAATCTTCCTTATTCTGTAAAAATATTTCAATTAAATTCAGTAATCTCATGTTTAAAAAATATCTATAAACAAAGATTATAAAAATAAAGTTTTTAAAAGTATGCATACAAATGAAAGAAAGATATACTTACTGTCATATCTGTATTTATTAAAATGTGCTCAGTTTTTTGTTTTTTATGAATAGCATGTGTATTTAATCCACATCCACCACAAGTATATACTATCCACTCACCAACATGGCAACTTGTCACCAATATTGATTGCGCCTGAAACAAAAATATGATAGTGTCAAGTTTTAAGTGCTTAAAAATAAATAATTTGCATTCAGATAATTAACTAATGCATAATTAAATGAGAATCAAACTAGATATCTTGTTTATTTTGCTTAAACCTTTCAAAGTATTGTTTTCAATGCTTCTGAAATTAAGAAGCACACATTAAATTTAATTATGAAAGTATTTTTGAAAATTTTTTCTATGTAAATTTTCTAAATATTAAGCTTTTCATGTTCAGTGTTGTCTGGGATGAGATTTAATAGTTTATAGTGAAACTTGGATTTTTCATCAATTATAAATACTTTGTATGAACTTGTGACAAATGAAATTTTTTTTATTTACAAGTTATATAAAATATATTATGTAAAAAATAGGTTATTCAAACTTTATAATCAAAACTATTTTACTTGCAAAATTTTATGATCAATATAGAAATATTCTCTGTATAAAAGGAATAAAATTATGATTTATATATACAAAAAAACCTTGTGAGATACCAGATAATTCAAAGTATCACATAATTCAAAGTCAACTCTAGTCTCCAGCCCAGAGAATAGGATTTTGCATATATTTTAATTTGGATAATTCAAAATATGCTTACAATAAAATTTGAAGTCATTATCTGGTCTGGTGATCCCCAAAAATATCATTTAATTCTAAATCTTCCATCATATTACATGTTTATAAGGAAAGTTTCCACACTCAAGTAGCAGTTTCGTTTTTGGTTTTACCAACTACACATTGCTAATACATTGGACATCAATGAAGAGAGAATTTTTTTTATTTTTACGGAAGAAATCTGTTGGCATTTAATTATTTTGGAAATTTTTCATAAAAATGTATTGTGTCAATAATTCCTAAGCCTATTAAATACACATGTATTCATAATAGAAAGCGTACATAGCTTTAGCCATTAATACAGCTTGTTTTCATCAGATTACGCAATTTTCATAATCTCGAACCCAAGACAGTGAATTCTTCATAGAACTAGCCATTGGTCCTTTAGACAAAATTCATGGGTAATTCTTATTGAAGCACTTAAGCTTGTTTTGTACGTTATTTTCAGCTACAAAATTTCATTCTCACTTTGAATGAAATTTTGTTACTTTTTCATTAAGTACAAACCAACTGATGATTCATAAAATAAATTAAGTTGTCATAATTTTATTTGAGAATTACAAAAAAAAATTTAATTTGAAAAAAGTTCAGATAATTCAAAGTGCTGTTTTGTTTAATCCCTTGAGTTTTGAAATAACATTTTACTGTATATGTAAAATGTTATTTCAAAATAACATGAAATAACATGTTATTTTATTTGTCAATTAAATATTTGTCAAATATTTAATTGACAAATATTTAATTTGTCAATTAAATTCATAAAATTGTTAAACGTACAATGAATTCTTGGTTAATATTTAATTTGTCAATTAATGTATACACAAATTAATGTATACATTAATTTGTGTTAATGTATACATTAACACAAATTCAAATGAATTCATATCCATAAATTTAAGTGGTTGTGAATCAGTGTCAATTCTTATCCTTCATCTACAATGGAAAAACTTATAGACAAAAGTATGGCAAATTTAATTGCTGGTATCTTGAATTGAAAAAATCAAGAATCAATCTGACATCTTAATTACATTAATTTTTTCCCTCAAACTATTTGTGCCTTTTTAAAAAATGGAGATAAGTCATCTATCCTTTGAAAGAAGAGATTAATTATTCCAAAAAAGTGTTTATTTCCTTTTATTTTATAATTAATTTTTTTTTGTATGTAACAATTTTACCATTGTACCTTTCACATTTCTTTTATTAATTTTTCAGTATTTCATAAATGTTCAGATCATTTCATTACAAAATATTTTAATATAAATTGTTATTAATAAAGATGTTTTTAATTTAAATTAAACATTATTAAAAATTAAACTCAAATTATTTAAAAAATTACAAATAAACATCACTATCAAGTACTCAAAACTTATAATCAGTTTTATAATCTTTTGCTGGTTAATATTTAATTTGTCAATTAAATTCATAAAATTGTTAAACGTACAATGAATTCTTGATATACTAACAAACCTAAATCTATAAGTGTCTAGAAAGAAATCTAGAAAAATCTAGAAGGAAATCTAACTCTAATAGTTAGATCTTGGTGGTTTGATTCAGATTGTTTTGTTTACATTTCTTTTTATTATTATGTTGGGTTTTGTGAGTTATACTCGGTTCACACCAGTGGCTGTGTACTATGCCGGACCAAAGTTAAGGCATAGCAACCAAAACAAAACTAAAATTAAATAAGTGTGTGTGTGTGTGTGTGTGTATTCACAGTGTGTCTGTATTCAGGAATTTCCTAACAATGTGGCATGTATTCAATATAGTGGCCTTCTGTAGTGTTATGTATGTATTTCTATTCAATTGTAATGTTCCCAGGCTTGTGTGTAGTGTGTGTGGTATCACACTTGTACATGAGAGAACGACAGGTACAATAAGCACCCTATCCATCCTCCACAGATGCCTTATTTCCTGGGCGAGTTCTGTGTACTTGCTAATTTTTTCAGTGCATGTGTTTTGTGCATTGTGAATGTTTGGAATGGCTATGTCTATAATGTATGTGATTTTATTGTGTTTGTCAATGAGTGTGATGTCTGGTCTGATGTGGTAAATTGTTTATCTGTGATTATGGCTCTGTCATAGTACATTTTGTGTGTGTTGTTTTCCAATATTGTCTGTGGATTGTATTTGTAGTATGGTTTGTGAATGTCTAATAATTTGTGTTTCTTTGCAAGCTCTTGGTGTATTATATTTTCTACTTGATTATGTCTAGGTAAATAATCTGACTGTGTCAACAGCTTGCAACCAGAAGTGATGTGTTGTATAGTTTCTGACATTTTATGCTTGTCATTTGTGATTGTTGTATCTTTGAGTATGTGTTTTCTGTAGTTTTTAGTATTTATGACCTGATCCTATATGGCAATCATGAATCTGTGTCTCCCCAAGCTAACTAGCTGTTTGATGCAGTTTTGTCAACAAAATCCTGGCCCAGGTCATAAGGATGCTTGCCATGAAGTGCCTTTCGAGTCTACGATTGCTTGATGGTGTCTATGCTTTTTGTGTGTTGTGTCATGTCCACATGTGAATGTAAATTTAATGGTGTGTTATTTGAGTCTGCTAGACTTACTGCTTTATGTAACTATGATGCTTCTTGTTTTTTTGTAGAAAAACCATATAACCATAATTTGACTGCAGGGATTTATTCCATCTCGATAATCAACCAACATTTCAAATCAAAACTAGTCCACGTGGGTGCAACTATGCATAATTTACAGCAACAAATTGAAGAACGTAAGTACACAAATTGAAAAAAATTTCAATAATATAACGCTGGCAGTTTACTCGCAACAGCAAGACATACAAGTAAAACGGGAGCAGGCATCCATCATCAGACCAACATCGAATATACACACTATGGGATATCTATAAAAATTGGAAATATAAAAATCTCATGCCAATGCATGGCTGTCCATTTATGAAATTTAATTTTATTAAGTAAAAATAAAACAAATATCCCTTATTATTTTATTTCATTATTTATTTTTTTAATTTCAACAACAATTACTGTTATTTATTTTTCAGAATTCTTGAAAATAAATTACACTGATATAACTCCAGCAAAATTTAATAAAATAAAAATGTGGATGCAATGATGCGTGGTCTGAAGCAAAGGCTCAAGGAGCATAAATACACAATAGATAGGTACCTTGATAACACTGTCTTATCATCGTACGCAAAGCAACAGGATATAGACGTGCAATGGGATCAAGCATCAATTATAAAAACGACGACTAATAGGCAAACGATCAAACATCTGGAGAGGTTGGAGATCTATAAAGCGCACATGAAAACCGGTTGTATAAACCATAGAGACGCTGATTCGTTGTCCACTGCGTGGAGGTCCTTTTACAATTATTAATTTTTCACTATTTAGTTTATTTGTTAATTTTTCACTATTTATTTAGTTTATTTGTTAATTTTTCATTAGTTCGTCTTCTAGGGCTTTTTCCGTTAATTTTTATTTTTATATTTATTTCGAATGCATTTTATGTTCTATATTTACTGTTCTATTTTTGGTAACTGACGATGATCGTTGAAAAATGATTGAAAACGTTTTTATTTTATTAAAATTTTGCTGGAGTTATATCGGTGTAATTTATTTTCAACTTATTCTACCTCCAGTACGCTTTGGTTATATATCAGAATTCTTGTCCTCGTTTTTAAAATTTTTGTATTTATGTTCTTCTATTTTTCCATTCTATTGTAACTGAAGAAAGTCAGTGAAACTGGTCAAAAACATTCTTATTTTATTAAATTCATTGCTGGAATTTATAGGTGTGATTTTTTGTGATTTATCTTTCCAGTTAGTTCAAAATATATGAATAATGAATATCATTTTAACAATAGTATGTACATGTTTTAATTAGCAAATGAACATAAAATTTAAATAATATAAAACAATACATATATAAATAAAAATAAAATAAAAATCAATCAATAGAGGAAAATAATCTCAAATCTCAAAAAGTGACTGCCAAGCATTGGAAATGGTATCAGCATTGCAATGATTAATGCACATGGATATTCCTATGAGCTATATAAATTTCCAACTTCTCCAAGTGAGAAAATGCAAGCACTTTAGAGGTAGGTTTTGATATTTTTGCTTATTTCCAATTTATTTGTATATCATGCATTGGTAGACTATTCACATCAACAGGTCGAATAGCCACTTGATGATACTATGTGTTTTATATATATATATATATATAAATTTCCTGGCTGTTATAGAATATAACCATAGAAAAAGTATGGTAATCAACTGAACTTTGACATCCTGGTTTTCTTAACATTTTGACAGCAAGGAGCCCAAAAATGTAAAAACACACCTTACAAATGTATGTGTGAGGTCATCTATCTTGCATTGTTTCTCAAATGGAAGAACCAAAACCTTTAAAACTTAGCAAGGTTATTTATATATACATATAGATAGATAATGATGCTGTTAAATTTTGATGGCTAAAGGTCTAGGGGTGGGAATTAGAAGAGGTTGTGTGTCCTATTGTGAGTGGAGTCAGATTTAATGAAAATTTTTTCTAATTATTGGTACTTAAATTTTTTTAAAATGTATATCTACTGTCAACATCGTATCTTTTGAATTGTAAATGCTAATAATGATTTTATTCGTTATTAGCATTAACAGTTTTTTATAAAACACATCCCTACCCTCAAAATTATGCCTTTTGCNAGTTTCATCATCCATATGAAGACAAAATTTGAAGTCATTTTATCAATTACTTATTTCTTGACATCTACTTAAATAAAACATGTTTTGTGTTTTCTATAAAATTGAAAAAATTGAACTTTGAGATTTGTGATACAGAACATATTTCAGGAACAGTTGCCTCTTCATTTTAAATTGTTTCCAATTGGACTACTGAATTTAGACAGAGTTTTGAAAAACCTGGAATATGATCCTTGCAGTAGATATTCAAAAAGTGCAACAACACCAGAAATCAAATCATTAATAAAGTCCATGATATAGTTTTGTAAAATCAACAATTAAAGGTGTCTAACATTGCTAAAGCTGTAAGCATTTCAGATAAATTGGAATTTCACATTTTGACTGAAGAATTAAATGAGAAAATTAGCTACAAGATGGGTGCCATGATTGCTAACAATTGAACAAAAATGCATTTGCACTCATATTTCTCAAGTATATAGAGTGTTTCCAGAAAAAATGATCAAGGTTGTGCACAGATTTGTTACCATGAATGGAGACTACATACTCAAAGTAAAAAGAAACAGCTGAAACAGAACAATGGATACTAGAATTAAAAAAAAAAAAAAGACTTCTTTCTGCTAGAAAGATCATGACATCTGTTTTCTGGATGCTAAAGCAATTACACAAATAAATTATTTTCCAAAGGATAAAACAATAATAGAGTACTATGCTAATATTCAACAAATGTGTACCTCAAGCAATGGTAAGTTAAGCAGTTTTTATAGCATTTTCCATTACATTTTGAAAATATTCCTGTTTTAACATTATTATTGAATATTTATTTATTTTATTATTTAAATGTTAAATAATATAATCCTTTAATTGTTGCAAAATGGTGGACTTATTCATATAAATAAGTCCAACACCTTTCCTTTTAGATAGGTCCCATATAAAAAAAATTCCAGCATTATCAAATCAGGCAATATTTCTGGCCACAGAAAATCACCATATCACAAAATAAAATGATCTGGAACGTTTCTCACACTGTATGAACAATATTGTTTCTCACACTGTGTGACAAAGTTCACAATACTGTCCTTTGCAACTAAAAACAAACAATTAGCAAACTTCATGTAGAAAAATTAGATCTGTTCAAATCTTGTGATTTATTTTGCACCCCACATTTGATTGCTCTTTTAGTACGTAAAAATAATTTTTTTCCATCAGAATTAATAGAAATAAGGGTCTTCTTTTAAAGACTTCCCATAAGAAATCATATAACAATGGAAAAATAAAAATGAATTTACACCCAATCACCCAATGATCAGAAAAATCAGGTTTATATATATGTATATGTATATATATCTAAATCTAATTTTAAAAAATATTGTCTTGTATTATTTCCTGTATTTCAATTAGATCTATTATCATTAATTAGTTCTATGCTGGTAGCTAGCTAGCTATCAATATCATAAAAATTTAATTGGTGAATGCATGCTGATAAATATAAAAAGCTAATTTTATGTATTCATATTAGTTTTATTTTGTGCATCTATTATTAAATTATTTTTTAAAAATACAAAAATTGCTTAGATACAGCTATTAAATTTTATTTTAGTTGGAACCCTTATGCCTTATTTAATCCTGTATTCATAAAAAATTTTATAATTAACAAAAATTACTTAAATGAAAATCTTACCATAGTTATTCCACCCAAATCTAAAGTCACTGTAGCTACTCCACCTTGAAAGAATGTGTGTAAAGTTTCTTCATTTGTTAGAGCCAATGAATTAATGGGAGTTGACTGAATGACATTATTCTTTGTATGAATGCAAACATTCAGACAATGACAAACTAAATGCATCATTTTATCTTAAAATGAAAGAAAAAAAATTTTAAATTATTAAAATAATAAAAAGAAAATATTTCTAAAATAAATTATTACAAACACCACATTAAACAAAAATATCATAAGTTAACAACTTACATCTAGGTTATTTTTATGAAAAATATTTTATTGAGCAAGAAATAATATATATAATCATGTTATCATATTATATATTAATCATATTAAAATAAATAAATGGCATATCTTTTGGTTACAATTAAAAAACATATTTTCTTATAATTATAATGTAACATTTTCCAAATATCTTATAATTACTAATTCATCATAAAGATAGCAATCATTATAAGTATTTAATTACTATTTCATGTTTTAAACTAAATTCATGTTCAAGTACTTGAGTCCATTAAAATATCAATGTATATATTAACTAGAAATAGTAGAATGTAATTAACATAAGTTATTTTCTGTAATGAAACTGATCTTTTACCCAGAAACAGCACTAACATCTTGCATAAGCAAAATTTAAAGCTTTTATATGAAACAAATAATGCTATCTATAACAGTGTAGTTTAACATCAAACATTAAGATATACTATTATAGATAATAAGATAATTTAATAGATCAATATGCCAAACATTAAGAAGTTTTTAAGAATTAAGATGTATTAAATAACACTCATGTAGCTTCATAGATTTACAAAAGTTGCATTTTGTAAATTCTCCTATTCAGTTTGAGTTTATATCAAAACTTCCAATTTGCTTCAAAAAATTACAATATATCTCATCTCTAGTCAGTTAAATAAAATTACATCTTGTTAATAAATCATTGCAATAGTTTACATAAAAAATTAAATTTCTATTAATATAAAATGTATATAACCCTGACATTGATGTTATCATTTATAAGGCTAAATTTTCTAATCTTTATTACAAGTATTATGTAGAGCTAACCTCAGTTTCTTCAAATATACTATCTTTAAAATAACAATATGAAAATTTCTGAATGATTTAAAAATAGGCGATATATTAGAAAACTGAAATCTTAAAAATTAATTCAGAGATAAACTAATAGCTACCATTATTAGTCTAATTCATATTTAGTTATTAATATAATAAAGAAATTATGTCCAAAGATAGAAATTTATTTAATATGATTAAATTATACTTAAATATGTGTATATACTTAAATGTACATACAATTATTTATGAATTATAAATAATTGTATGTAAAAACAGACCACTGCATCACCCCCATCAATGAACATAGATCATTGTATGTTTAATATTTTGTTGCATCATCTTTGCGGCCAAAACACCTTCCATACATCTCGGCATGCTGTTGACTAGGTGTTCACTTTCATCTGCCGTTATGAAATTCCAGATAGTTAAGATGGAAGCTTTTAGTCCAACTGTCCGAGGGCATGTTTTTTGCAGACATCTCTTCATAATGTTCCATACATTCTCAATTGGTGAAAGATCTGGTCTGTTAGATAGCCAAAAAAGAACTTCTATGTTCTTTTCTGTTTTGTTTTTCTGCCTGTATGACATGTGGTCCCATCATGCTGGAAAATGCAGGTTCTATTTGGATATAGCTTTGCTATGAACGGCAGTAAATACTGTTGTAGAATGTTAATGTATTGCTCTGAAGCAAGTGTTCCTGCCATCAACAAATGTCAACTGACCCATACCACTGGCACTCATACATCCCCGAACCATGAAACTGGCAGGAAACATCATTGAGCGATATAACAATAATGGCTCATTAGCTTGACTGGCAGACTGAATGACACATTTGCTTTTGTCTGTTGCTGATAATTCAACATTTGATTTAATTTGATTTATCAGACCACAGAATTTCATGCCACTTTTGTTGAGACCAGGAAAGATGTTCTTTGGCTCACTGTACCTGTTTCTTCTTTTGATGTGCTGTTAGCAAAGGTTTTTCATGTGCTGACACAAATACAAAGACACAGAGAAAAATTATATACCTTTCTAATTATGTTCTTTGAATAACACATTAAATCAAAAAAAAAAAAAGCTGGCAAGTGCTCTTGCACAATTTTAATGCCATTCAAACATCAGGTTAAGGGGATCAGAAAGTCGAGTAATTTTCCATTATAATTTCTAAAAGTTAGAAAAAAAAAAGTAAATCTTATTTTTGGAGTAGGAGTAAGTTTTCAAAAAATTGTAAATACCAAAATGAGTATGGTAACATTTTTATTAAGTCTGACTACATTTGAGATATGATTCCCTATAAGACTAGGGGGAGATTGAGGAGATAATCTCCAAACCATAACAGTATCCATATCTCATATATAGAAATATTCTTGCCAAGTTTCAAAATATGAAGCAAAATACAAGACAACACACAGAAATTTGTTCCTCCCCATTTTTGTTTTCAGAATCAGGGAACCTAAATATGTTGAAAAATGCAAAAAATCCAGGAGGATCAAAATTTGACTAATTATAATACATTATCTGTTACTTCAACAAGAAAATAGAAATCAACACCATGATAAACATTTATTCTCCTATAAGTAGAAATATATTTTATTTCAAAAGCTTCATTTCTTTTTTTTTAAATCTACAAAGAATCTCTGCACAATTTGGCTAGACAAAATTTAAGTTTGAAAATTATAAGATTTCAGATTATAAATAATTCTGAAATTTTAACTAAAATATAATAAAAACAACACATTAAAAGCTTAACTGTAAAATAAACTTTTAAAATAGAATATATTTTGAAATGTTTTCAAAAGGTATTTAATTTTATGCCAAAAATTTTTATTTCAAATTTCAGAAAAAACTATATCTAGCTTTTAAAAAGGTGTTATGTATTAAATAAACAAACATTTTTGGCTTGTTTTAATCTTTCTTCACATACATGTCGAACAAAATAAAATTTAATAAAAACTACAGTTTTAGTTATAACAACTGTATAGAATATAATTGATTATAATCTAAACAATTTTATTTGAATATGACAAAAAAGAAATATATCAAAAGTATTAAAATAAATGTATTAAAATAATGTGTTTTTATTTTGAATTAATTTGGTTTTTAAATTTTCAAAATTTTAATCAATCTACTTGGCAAATCAAAATATTTTAAAACATAAGTTTAAATTTAAATATTTTGAATTAAGGAATATCTAATCAAACACTATTACTCTCTCTTGCATTGCATTGTTGTTTACATTAATTAAAACCATTAAGTATGTTAATGTATTATTGTGATACTTCAAGTACTGTATATGCTCAAGTACAATATACATCTATATAAGTACAGGTATACCTCGCCTTACGTCGGTAATTGGTTCCAGGAGAACGACTTAAGTCAAAAAACGACGTAAGTCGAATTTACTTGTCTCCGAATCTACTTATCACTAGGCTAAATCGTAAATTACCATTCCCGGTTCTGTATTTTATTTATTAATGCATTTTTAATAATATATGGTTAATAAAAATCTATTTTAAGCTTACAAACAAGTAAATTTTAGTTTTTAATATAGTACAGAAAAAAAGTAATCTAAATTTACGAATGCATGTACTTTAAATACAGTATATACTTGTATATATTTTAATATGATTTTATGTGCTTTAAACGTTTTTCTAGTGATATTACGACTTCAATATTTGTGACAGACAGACGTAAAGTCGAATAAAATGACTTAAACTTGATTTTTATTTTTCCATATACTTTTTTGACAAACGACATATAATCGGGAACGACGTAACTCAAAACGATGTAAGTCGATGTATGCCTGTATATAAAAGTATATGCTCAAGTACAATATACAATCTATCCAGTTCCAATGGAAAGGAACAAATTTCTGTGTGTTGTCTTGTATTTTGCTTCATATTTTGAAACTTGGCAAGAATACTTCTATATATGAACTATGGATACTGTTATGGTTTGGAGATTATCTTACCTCATCAAGGAACGAAATTCTCCATTGTGTTTCCAGTACTGAGAGCTAAAATGTATTCTTTACTATTATTAACTAGAATGCAATTTGCAACTTATCATTTCTAAAAAGAATCTTAGCACAGAGTCCTAGGGACCCATGGAACAAACTACAGCAAACAGGAGTATATAGAATCTTTATATTAAGCAAGAACAAGTTTTTTTTCTACATCAATGCCACAGCCTAGGCTTTAAGGTAGAGACACACTGGACATAAACACATTGAAAGAGAAAGATTTACAACAAAGCTGGCCACTTTCTGCTTAGACAATGAGTGGAAAGTCCTATAGGGCTATGTAAAAAACATCCTAAAGGTCATTGATCAATCTGGCAAAACTCAAAACCATAAATATACAAAAATATAATCCCACCAATCAGACATTAGTCTCAAAGTGTTATCAGAATGACTTCAAGACAAAGTTGAACACACTGCCACATAGAACATCTATATTTTATGTAGCTCCTCTTTTCTACCATTTTTTGTTGATGTAAAGATGTGTGAATAGAACAGTTTGAAAACTGAAAATTTTCAATGTTCTCTAAATGTTCTTTTTGTTTCTTCAACTAAAGAAGCCTGCTTACATTGGACAAAAGTACTTTTAAATAGTCTATTTGTTGTTATTCCTCTCCATAAGAGGAAATAATAAATTTGTTCAAGATTGCTACTGGATGTTTATGTTTATCACAATGTACAGGTTTCCAATTTACAATGATAAGTAATATATTACAATTTAGGTAATGTAAATATCTTAATCCATAACAGAGAAATTCTTAACTAAATTTAATTAATATTACATTCAAACTAATATAAATAAAAATAAAATAAAAATCAATCAATANTAATTTTTATTACATATTATTTATTATAATTCAATTATTATTCAAACTTTTGGGATAAAGAATTTTAAGTAACCTTATATTACTCTGAAAATAAGTGCAATTATTTTTCTGATTCTGTTCCAAAAGATTTCAGTTGACAGTGCAATGATTCAGTCATTAAAGTAACAATTAAAAAATTCCAATATTCCTTGGAAGAACATAATTTATAACATATACGAATTTTAATAACATATAATGCAAATGATATTTGAAATTATGTATTATATATTATATAAAATATTATACAAAAATAAATAATATATTTTATATAATATAGAGAAAATTGTTTCTATAAAGTAGGATTTCTTTGATATCTCAAACTTTCAGAGGGACAACTAAAACATTACTAAATATATGATTCATGAAGCAATGTCCTTACATCCTTACACTAGTAGAGTTCTTTCATTCAAGTTACTTGTATTTTAGTCTGAATGCTCTGTTGCTTTTAAAAGCATCTGTTCAGACTAAACTATTTCACATTTATTTAACTTTGTAGAATTAATTATATAGGATTTTCCAATTTATATATTCCTGTTTTTAAATCAATTGGTTTCATATTTTAAGCTTATCATCATAGCATTAATTATATCTGGCTTTTAACTTCAACAAAGCCATATAAATTTTATGAATGTTTTAGAACATGAATTTATCTATCAATAAACTAATATATATGATTGTATCAATAATATAAACAATTGCTTAAATTAATTGATTAAAATGATACAAATACTAATTAATAAAATAATGAATCCTGCAGATTAAACTAGACTGATTTTTCTGAGATTAAGCTTACAAATACTAAATGTATCCTTTTAAAAAGTGACAAACAAATGGCAATTAAGTTTATATTGCTAATGCATTCTTATGTTATTTATATTCTAAACTGTTTAGACAGTATTTAAAATACTTAATTATACGTAGTGTCAATAGAATCTAAATATTTTACTAAAAAAACAGGAAACATAATTCACTAACTATACTGTCGAGTACCTCTCGCTCCTCAGCTGACAATCCAGCGGCCTTAGCAACAAGAGATGCAGTATCGCGAGAGAGAGAAGCTGCGCAGGGGGTCTTTTGATAGAAGTAGCGGGAAGAGTCCATTTAACAGGCAAACTGGACTCGACCTTGAACTGAAACATTCACAAAAGAGGAATGGAGACGTAGTAAGGCGCTCCTCGTGGCACTTTACTCAACTAATTAAATGCGCAATAAAATAATTATTCGATAATTTTTATCTAAATTATTTATTAATACTTAAAGATAAATTTACTATTTAATTTATTACACGATGTGAGTAAAAATAATTTACTTCCTAATACATTTATCTCTCATGATTTTTATCCTAGTGCCGATTTATAGATAAAACGAAACATATTTGTTTAAATCCGTTTTCTAATATCTTATAAAATATTTTCGTTAGGATATTTAAGCTCGATGATAATCTAATGTTCGCTTGAAAGTAGCGGCACAACAATTAAGTAGTGTAGGTCCGAAATCGAACCGGGATCATTAGTCGAAATCGCTGTGATGTTTTAGAAGCTTTTCATTGGTGTAGAATGATTAAATAGCCACTTTTGAGTCATCCTTTCACACGTCTAGAGTTGTATCTATTCCGATCCAGGTTATCGGCAAGATGTATGAGAGATGCTTTAATTCTAAGGAATCCGGGGATGCAAATCTAGATTAGATCCGTAGAAATTTAATAAATTAGCTAGGTTCTAATGCATCACATGTCATAAACGTTTAGAATCTTCGAAATAGAGAGAGAGAGAGAGGCTTACGTCAAATACACAAACCGGCTGTCTCTCTAAATTTGCATTCATGATATCTATATGAATTTGAAATTAGTTATGCTAATCGTCCTTGATTACATGACAATAAATCATTACGTTTTATTCTTTCATAGCTACTTTTTTTGCCTATTTGAGAGGACTTATCGCACCACGATGTTTTGAGGAACGTAAAAATACATACGTAAAAGCTGTAAAATAAATGTAAAACTTGTCAATACCCTCTGAAAAATTGTAACAAGCGGAAAAAATTATAATCCATGTCGGAATCTGAAAACTAATTTCTATCTAACNTTTTGTTAATAATTAATAATATAAAATTTATTTTTTATTAAATTAATTTTATTATTTATTTTATTAAATAAAACTGTGGGGCATCAAGTTGAGATTTTTAAGGTTATTCAAAAAATTCTTGGAATAAAATAAAGATGGCAATAGTATAACAATGTTTTAGTGCAGTTTCATCAGTCATATGAAGACAAAATTTGAAGTCATTTTATCAATTACTTATTTCTTGACATCTACTTAAATAAAACATGTTTTGTGTTTTCTATAAAATTGAAAAAATTGAACTTTGAGATTTGTGATACAGAACATATTTCAGGAACAGTTGCCTCTTCATTTTAAATTGTTTCCAATTGGACTACTGAATTTAGACAGAGTTTTGAAAAACCTGGAATATGATCCTTGCAGTAGATATTCAAAAAGTGCAACAACACCAGAAATCAAATCATTAATAAAGTCCATGATATAGTTTTGTAAAATCAACAATTAAAGGTGTCTAACATTGCTAAAGCTGTAAGCATTTCAGATAAATTGGAATTTCACATTTTGACTGAAGAATTAAATGAGAAAATTAGCTACAAGATGGGTGCCATGATTGCTAACAATTGAACAAAAATGCATTTGCACTCATATTTCTCAAGTATATAGAGTGTTTCCAGAAAAAATGATCAAGGTTGTGCACAGATTTGTTACCATGAATGGAGACTACATACTCAAAGTAAAAAGAAACAGCTGAAACAGAACAATGGATACTAGAATTAAAAAAAAAAAAAAGACTTCTTTCTGCTAGAAAGATCATGACATCTGTTTTCTGGATGCTAAAGCAATTACACAAATAAATTATTTTCCAAAGGATAAAACAATAATAGAGTACTATGCTAATATTCAACAAATGTGTACCTCAAGCAATGGTAAGTTAAGCAGTTTTTATAGCATTTTCCATTACATTTTGAAAATATTCCTGTTTTAACATTATTATTGAATATTTATTTATTTTATTATTTAAATGTTAAATAATATAATCCTTTAATTGTTGCAAAATGGTGGACTTATTCATATAAATAAGTCCAACACCTTTCCTTTTAGATAGGTCCCATATAAAAAAAATTCCAGCATTATCAAATCAGGCAATATTTCTGGCCACAGAAAATCACCATATCACAAAATAAAATGATCTGGAACGTTTCTCACACTGTATGAACAATATTGTTTCTCACACTGTGTGACAAAGTTCACAATACTGTCCTTTGCAACTAAAAACAAACAATTAGCAAACTTCATGTAGAAAAATTAGATCTGTTCAAATCTTGTGATTTATTTTGCACCCCACATTTGATTGCTCTTTTAGTACGTAAAAATAATTTTTTTCCATCAGAATTAATAGAAATAAGGGTCTTCTTTTAAAGACTTCCCATAAGAAATCATATAACAATGGAAAAATAAAAATGAATTTACACCCAATCACCCAATGATCAGAAAAATCAGGTTTATATATATGTATATGTATATATATCTAAATCTAATTTTAAAAAATATTGTCTTGTATTATTTCCTGTATTTCAATTAGATCTATTATCATTAATTAGTTCTATGCTGGTAGCTAGCTAGCTATCAATATCATAAAAATTTAATTGGTGAATGCATGCTGATAAATATAAAAAGCTAATTTTATGTATTCATATTAGTTTTATTTTGTGCATCTATTATTAAATTATTTTTTAAAAATACAAAAATTGCTTAGATACAGCTATTAAATTTTATTTTAGTTGGAACCCTTATGCCTTATTTAATCCTGTATTCATAAAAAATTTTATAATTAACAAAAATTACTTAAATGAAAATCTTACCATAGTTATTCCACCCAAATCTAAAGTCACTGTAGCTACTCCACCTTGAAAGAATGTGTGTAAAGTTTCTTCATTTGTTAGAGCCAATGAATTAATGGGAGTTGACTGAATGACATTATTCTTTGTATGAATGCAAACATTCAGACAATGACAAACTAAATGCATCATTTTATCTTAAAATGAAAGAAAAAAAATTTTAAATTATTAAAATAATAAAAAGAAAATATTTCTAAAATAAATTATTACAAACACCACATTAAACAAAAATATCATAAGTTAACAACTTACATCTAGGTTATTTTTATGAAAAATATTTTATTGAGCAAGAAATAATATATATAATCATGTTATCATATTATATATTAATCATATTAAAATAAATAAATGGCATATCTTTTGGTTACAATTAAAAAACATATTTTCTTATAATTATAATGTAACATTTTCCAAATATCTTATAATTACTAATTCATCATAAAGATAGCAATCATTATAAGTATTTAATTACTATTTCATGTTTTAAACTAAATTCATGTTCAAGTACTTGAGTCCATTAAAATATCAATGTATATATTAACTAGAAATAGTAGAATGTAATTAACATAAGTTATTTTCTGTAATGAAACTGATCTTTTACCCAGAAACAGCACTAACATCTTGCATAAGCAAAATTTAAAGCTTTTATATGAAACAAATAATGCTATCTATAACAGTGTAGTTTAACATCAAACATTAAGATATACTATTATAGATAATAAGATAATTTAATAGATCAATATGCCAAACATTAAGAAGTTTTTAAGAATTAAGATGTATTAAATAACACTCATGTAGCTTCATAGATTTACAAAAGTTGCATTTTGTAAATTCTCCTATTCAGTTTGAGTTTATATCAAAACTTCCAATTTGCTTCAAAAAATTACAATATATCTCATCTCTAGTCAGTTAAATAAAATTACATCTTGTTAATAAATCATTGCAATAGTTTACATAAAAAATTAAATTTCTATTAATATAAAATGTATATAACCCTGACATTGATGTTATCATTTATAAGGCTAAATTTTCTAATCTTTATTACAAGTATTATGTAGAGCTAACCTCAGTTTCTTCAAATATACTATCTTTAAAATAACAATATGAAAATTTCTGAATGATTTAAAAATAGGCGATATATTAGAAAACTGAAATCTTAAAAATTAATTCAGAGATAAACTAATAGCTACCATTATTAGTCTAATTCATATTTAGTTATTAATATAATAAAGAAATTATGTCCAAAGATAGAAATTTATTTAATATGATTAAATTATACTTAAATATGTGTATATACTTAAATGTACATACAATTATTTATGAATTATAAATAATTGTATGTAAAAACAGACCACTGCATCACCCCCATCAATGAACATAGATCATTGTATGTTTAATATTTTGTTGCATCATCTTTGCGGCCAAAACACCTTCCATACATCTCGGCATGCTGTTGACTAGGTGTTCACTTTCATCTGCCGTTATGAAATTCCAGATAGTTAAGATGGAAGCTTTTAGTCCAACTGTCCGAGGGCATGTTTTTTGCAGACATCTCTTCATAATGTTCCATACATTCTCAATTGGTGAAAGATCTGGTCTGTTAGATAGCCAAAAAAGAACTTCTATGTTCTTTTCTGTTTTGTTTTTCTGCCTGTATGACATGTGGTCCCATCATGCTGGAAAATGCAGGTTCTATTTGGATATAGCTTTGCTATGAACGGCAGTAAATACTGTTGTAGAATGTTAATGTATTGCTCTGAAGCAAGTGTTCCTGCCATCAACAAATGTCAACTGACCCATACCACTGGCACTCATACATCCCCGAACCATGAAACTGGCAGGAAACATCATTGAGCGATATAACAATAATGGCTCATTAGCTTGACTGGCAGACTGAATGACACATTTGCTTTTGTCTGTTGCTGATAATTCAACATTTGATTTAATTTGATTTATCAGACCACAGAATTTCATGCCACTTTTGTTGAGACCAGGAAAGATGTTCTTTGGCTCACTGTACCTGTTTCTTCTTTTGATGTGCTGTTAGCAAAGGTTTTTCATGTGCTGACACAAATACAAAGACACAGAGAAAAATTATATACCTTTCTAATTATGTTCTTTGAATAACACATTAAATCAAAAAAAAAAAAGCTGGCAAGTGCTCTTGCACAATTTTAATGCCATTCAAACATCAGGTTAAGGGGATCAGAAA